TCATTTGGTTGCAGAATTATCCATATACCCGCTGTGGTGTTTTAGCACCCTACTCCTTGTGGAAGGTTGGAGGAGTCAGGGGTAAGACTGGCCAAGTGTACCTCGTTGTCGAGGACCAGGGCCATCCAAACTTAGAAGAAGAAGAAGAAGTATTATTGTCACATCCGTATTATCACCAAAAATACCTACAATTAGTAGTAGATACATTATTAAATAATAGATATCCTTTGGAGTTAATTTTTACAAAAATAGATAATAGATTAAAATATTTAATTTCAACAAAACTCAATAAAATTCCTGTGACACAACAGGGTGAGAATCGGGAGAGACGGATCAAATCCTTTCCGTATATGACAAGATCTTCTGAAATTGTAGCCTCAGCTATAGATAAAAAGGAATTTATGATAGGTTATAAGTGTCTGAATAAACTTAGTAACATCATAAAGGTACATAAGGATAGAGATCCGGATGATTGCAATAATAATATATCATTTACAAAATCAATTGTAAGGATTGCGATGCCTCTTACGTTGGTCAAACGAAGAGGCAATTGAAAACAGGAGTGATGGAGCATAAAAAGAACATGAATCAAGATATAACTAAACATTCTGTTATTACTGGTCATACGTTAAAACATAATCACACGTTTGATTGATCTGACGTTAAAATTCTAGATAAAGAAAATAATTATTATAAGAGATTAATATCTGAAATGATCCATATATCAAAGCACAGAATAATGGGGTTATTGCCAAAGAAGACATGGCACTTTTAAGGACGTTCTCCGACTGCAGTTGTGCTCAACCTAAAGTTTACTCGCATCCACGCAATCGCCCCTACACACAGAAAATATTAGTTGACTATCACCGTGTGCGCAGAAGTGTAAAAATGATCCTACTGCGTCACTCCGTGCGATGCGGCAACGCTGCCTTTTCGCTCTGTGCTTTGTGTTGTGTTAGTAAGGTTAGGCAGGTGGACAGTGTCTGCCCTGCTTCGGGTATTGCATCTTATTAATTTTTTGCTGAAATTACGTGATCGCTACCCTGAGAAAGTACGAGGTTATTTGTGTTGTCACGCGTCACGTGTTGAGCGTATACGACGCGACGTTGCCAAGTCGTCAATACCTCTCGCCTTCGCTACTGCCACCGGTCGAAAAAATAGCCGAGCTACTTACTTTGTTAAATGATTTCTTAAATATAAATACCGGAAGGCATATTCAGGAAAATTTCATATTATTCCTTGTAATATCAAGTTTTATGTCTCTTTGTTTCAAAAAATTCTAAAGAAAACTTTGTTTACAGTGAATAAAAAACCACTTTCGAATAAGCTTTAGATAGGGATTCTATGTTAAACGTTTCAACTTTGAAGTGAAATATCTCGATTTTTAATCCCGCAACGAGTACTGAGCTTCAAAGTATATATGTTCAGAACACTAAAACAAGCTTATTCTGTAAGTTTCAGAAAAATCTAAAGAAAATGGATTTTTCGGAGAACGTCCTTAAATGAATCTTATTTCAATATCCTTGATAGGATAATAACGATTATTGAGTGTTTATGTTGCCGGTTTTATTGTTAAGTTGAATGTCATTTAATATCGGATCATATCTCTTTTGCTACTTCGCACACGACTGTCGTTAGGATCAGAAGCATAAATTTACATGTAAGTTATTTTGCTATAATTCCGGATCTATAGATTCCACAAATTGTAATTCAATTCTAAATGATTATCATATTAATTGTAATTCATTTTTAAATTTAGATTATTTTAAATTACCAGATGTTGCGTCAGATTAAACTATTTTTGACAGGGTTGGATAAGTTAATTACTTTTTAAAAATAACACGTTACCGTTACCATTATTTGTTGTAAAAAGTAACGCGTTACCGTTACTTAAAAGTATAAACGATAACAAATCGTTACTTTTCGTTACTTTTTTTCTAATTATGCGAGAAATGGGTCTACTCACTGATTATGAAATTAGGGCGATTCGACGCGTGTTTGCACAAAATGAACAAATCTGGCAGAAAAATAAGTGTCGCTCTGCCCAGCGAAGTGAGATATTATATAATGGTTAAAGTTGACGATTGAGGTAAGGTTTCGTGCAAAAATGCATCGAATGATCCTAGTTTCATCACAATTAATGAATAAGCCTGTCTTCTGCATCATTACACTTTTTTTAAATGTTAAAACAAGCTTCTAAGACAGAATGCTAAGACAGAATATAAATTAAATATAAAATATTTAGAAAGATATTTATCTTTGAACATTTTTATCTTGTATTAACATTTTACATACTTATGTTTAATTCTACGATATTTTATTATAAATAGATATTTTAATTTTCAGTGTTCTTATGCTAAAGCGAGAATAGTGAATAAAACAAAAAATAGACAAGTTTTTTGTTTATTTAATACCTATAATTTTATTGTCCGTGACGGCCATGATCTTTAAAAAAATAACGATAAAAGAGTAACGGAATCAATTTCGTTATTCGTTACTAAAGAAAATGTAACGTCGTTACTTTTTTGTTACTAATAAAAAAAAGTAACGACGTTATCAAATCGTTACCAAAAAAAAAGAAACGAAAATGTAACGTCGTTACAACCCAGGTAGCAAGCTACGTCATTTTGACGTCATTTTGACGTCAAATGGCGTCTTCTTGACGTCAAATGACGTCATTTTGACGTCAGCTTGCTACCAGGGAAGTAACGCGTTACTTCCCAAATCTGATTTTTGCAACATCAAAAGAAGTCTAACCGAATCGATACTACAGTCCGTCGACATATTCCGATTTTTTATAATGTAAGACTTTTAATATCAATTGACTACTAACGTAATATACTTTGCGACTGAAGAAGACTCAGTAGGGTCGAAACTAGTTTCGCTAGACTAGTGTAAATCGAACATTAAAAAAAATTATTTTAATTATAATAAAACATCTTATTTTTCGCTCGTCATTTTACATATATTATTCTATTGCGTTTTCAATAACGAGCAGAATATTATTGATCATATTTTTAATGTTAATACTTTTAATGTCCGTTTCCACCAATGTAGATTAACTTCAATCTCGGTTCAACTTGTTCTTCGTCTTTTTCTAGTTCTTCTTTTTCGAGATTAGAAAAAGAGGAAGAGTAGTTGAACCGAGATTAAAATTAATCTACATTGGTAGAAATGGGCATAAGCGAAATAAATATCACGCGCATGTAAGATAAATATTTCTGATCTGCAGTTTGTGAATGCAAATAGCACGATATTATACGAACCAAATATCGATTTACCATCTGCAGCCTTAAAAAGTGGACGTATGTACCCTAAGAAAAGTGGACGTTGCTATGTAGTTTACATCCACTTTTTCAGAGGGCAGTAGTGCGCGGCGGTAGTTTGCGATTACAGGAAATAGGCCCTCATGGGCCTCATGTCTTCTCTCAGGTATCTCTCTGGTAACACCATCGACATCTAGAATGGACCGCTGATGGCAATGGTGGGGGTAGAAAGACGATTAGAGTGAGAGGCAGGAATAATAAGATCGTTCTTTCTCTGTTTACTGAAGCCTGATTGGTTGTTGTTAATCCAACAACCAATCAGGCTGTTAGAAACAACAGTAAACAGAGAAAGAACGATCTTATTATTCCTGCCTCTCACTCTAATCGTCTTTCTACCCCCACCATTGCCATCAGCGGTCCATTCTAGATGTCGATGGGTAACACTCTCAGAGGGTTCTTCATCAGTTCTTCATTTTCTTTCGTCCATATAAATAATCCATAAATTATCGAAAGCTGTGTTTTTTGTTTTTTATCATACTAGACTTGACTGCATAAAGCTTCTATTTCGCTTATACGTTTTCATTTATCACACACAATATTAAAATCAGGTATATTAACAATCAATATTTAATCTTTTTTTTGTATATTGTACCTATAATTTGTAATAATTTACACATATATGCTACATTATTTTTATTGTCTACAGAGCTGAGTAAAATACATCATTAAAGTATTTAAAATACAAAATGTATTTTTACGTGCTCCACTGACATATAAAAATACAATTGTATTTCAAATACAATTAGATATATATATTTGAAATATGTCCAATCCTGATTGTCTATAACATGAAAAAATATTATAATGTATAAATAAATAAAAGTAAAAAATAGATATAATTTCGTTTTTCTTCAATTATTTATTTATTGTGAATGTAACTCTTCAAATATTATTTTCATTTATTAATTCATTTATAATCTTTTCGATATCTTCTAAATAGCTTTAAAAAATTATGGCAACACTGTTCAAACGATTTTAAAGCATTGTTACACGCGCAAAAGTAGATTTTTTAATTGTATTAAAACTAAAAACAATCGCTCGTAAAAATAATCCAAGTATAACTAGAAGCAATTTAACA